AAAAAAAAAAAAAAGCAGCAGTAGCAGCAGCTTGGCTGCTGACAGGAGAAGAGCCTGGAGGCAAGAGCTAGGGAGGAGGAGGATGTGGGGTGAAGAGAGGCTTTGTACCGATGGGAAAACCCAGAGGAAGCATGCAGAGAGAGCCTGGGTTGGCAGGAGGAGAGCAGGCCCACAGCGAGGCTTCTGAGCAGGGAGGACGGGCCAGACATCAGGAGAAGCCGCAGGCAGTCAGGTTGGATCTGCTGGGGTCCGCAGCCATGAACACGGCATGGTACCGACTGCCACGAAGTACCAAGCATCTCTGGAAGCTGGCAGCAGCCAGGGGCAGACACAGAGAAGCCAGGAAGGCACAGCGGGAGGCAGACAGAGCAAGAGGAGGGAGATGTTGGCAGAAGAATGGTGGGAATGAGGATTCTAAGCTGGATGTGGGGGCAGTGACGTGGGGAGGGTTGCTGGACAGAAAGGTGAGGGCCAGGCGCTCACGAAGCAGGTGTCCTGGAGTGTCAGAGTGAGAGCTGGCGAGGAGAGGAGGTGGGGAGCAGAGAAAGGGGTGACAGGCTCATAGCGTGATTTGGGAGGTGTTGGCTCTGACACAGTTTGGCCCCTGACAAGGTCTAGGGTGGACGTGGGAGTAGAGGGAGGGAGTCAAATGGAGGAGAAGGGCAAGAGGCTGAGCAACGGGGACACTGACTGGGCCATTCACCCAGACTTGCAGACACCCAGGATTTCACCAGGGCCCAGGGCTCAGAGGGCAATGGCCACAGGGAGGTGCAGCTGGAGGGCTTGGGTCTCAGCGGAGGCAGGGGGTCATCAAGGAGGCTGCTCAGGGAGCCAGCGGGCAGAGGAAGACACTGCCATCCCCACTGGGCCTTCCAAGGCCTCCCCCCAGGCTGCAGGGAGGGGCCCTTGGGACAGACTGGGGTTTGGAGAGGATAAGGAGACACAGTGACCACTGAATGGTCATGGAGTTTAGTAACCGCAGGACAAGGTTACAAAGGGGGCCACGGAGGAGTCGGGAGGAAGGAGTCAAGGGAGAGAAATCCCAAAGCATTTCAGGGGGAGACAACAAATAGTATAAAAAAAAATAGGGGGGGGGTGGATTTTATCTCAGGGAGGCGGGGTGTTGTCAGAATAAAGAGGAATAAGTCTGTCATCCAGAACATGGCCTCTCAACCAACCTCCTGATCCATGTCCTCTCCTCCCAACTTCCAAAGCCTGGAGCTTCCCCTGACTATAACTTTCACTGGCTCCCTACTGTCCAGTCAAGTCAGGGCTGGCTATCTCCTCACACCAGCATTCAGGACCTCCACCATCCAGTCTGAACCTACTCCCTGTCCAACCTCTATGCCTTTGCTCAGGCTGCTCCCCTCACTCAGAATGCACCCCCACTTAGAATGCTCCCTCCCCATCCCAACCTATGTCCTGAATCCCCACTAGTCTTTCCTTCTGTGCCCACACCTAGAACCCTTCCCCGATTCTCCCAGCCAGAACTCTGTACCTGTGTCAAGGCCCTGTATTTTACTGTACTGCACACCCAGCTGAATCCCAGGCTGCCCTCACCCCCCATAAATGACACTGGGACTGGGTCCCCAGGGCACTACCAGGAGAACCAGCCAGAAATCCCATCCCCCACCAGAATGGCCCACTGCAAAGCTCCCCACCTGTGAGCAGCATGAGCCAGGGCAGCAGGAGGAGGGCCGCGATGTGGAGGGGTGCATGGGCTCGCAGGAGGGCCGACAGGGCGGGACCCAGCAGCACAGAGACATGGAGCAGGACGCCCGCAGCATGAAGCAACAGGCACAGGAAGGGCCGGTAGTTGCGGAATCCCACGCAGCGGCCCAGCAGGCGACAGTGGTGATCCCGACGAAGGATGCAGACGCGGCAGGCGGAGCAATGCCCGCTGCGTGGTGGCACCTGGCTTTGGCACTGGTAGCAGTAACTGCAGAGAAGGAACCACAGAGTCAGTTCCCCCAGCAGCTCTGAGCACCTCGTCAGGCCCGGTCAGCCTCTGAGCCCATCCTGGGGAAGCAGGCACAGCCGCTGTCCTCACTAAGCCTCAAGTTCATCATACATAAATGCAGGCTGAACACCACTTCCTGGGCCCTTCCAGTTCTAGCACTGCAGGTCCGAGGGCTCCTGCAGCTCAGACATCCAGTCCTAAGGCCTCTAACACCCAGGAGCAAACTTCTCACTTCCTCTGTGCTCACCACGTTGGTCCAAGTCACCAAAAGATTACTGGATTACTGCAACAGACTCTCAATTATTCTCCCTGATTCCAGCTTTGTTTCCTCCTAGTCTAGTCTCACGCCAGCACCCAGACTGATCCTTAGAAGTCTAAGTCGTGCCCTTCTCCTCTGTTCAAAACCCTTCAGTGGCTATCCATCTCACTGCCAGTAAAAGCAAAGCCTTCAGTGTCCTGCAAGGTCTTTCCATCTCTAACCTCTCTCCTCCCCCTCTCACTCCACACCAGCCACAATGGCCTTCTTGCTGTTCCAGGAGCATGCAAGGCACATAACTGCCTCAGAGTCTTCCCACTGTCTATTCCCTCTGCCTGGAATGCTCTTCCCCCAGATCCCCACATGGCTAACTCCCCCGCCTCCTTCAAGTCTGTGCAAATACCTACCTTGACTTACCCTATTTCAAACTGCAACCTGCACACCATTTACTCTGCTCTTTTTGTTTCCACACCACCAACATCTTCTAACGTTCTATACAATTTGCTAATTTATTATGCCTGTAACTAATCATCTGCCCCCTCCCCCACTGAAATCAGCTCCAGGGTGTCAGGAATCTATTTTATTGTACCTCCAGTGGCCGGAACAGTACCTTGCACATAGCAGGTGCTCATTAAATATTTGCAAGTGAATGAATGATACGTCTTCAGGATCTACCATCCAGGTTCTAAAAGAGTGTTCCGGCTCTAACAAGCGGATCCTATTATAATCTGGTTCTAACATCTTCAGGTCCTAGGGCGCCTCCCCCAGTCCAAGGCTCCTCCTGCTTTCCCCCCTCGCCAGATCCCGCGCCCCACTCACGCCCAGCCCTGGCCCAGACCGCGGCCGGCCAGCATCACGCCCCGGATGCTGGGATCGGAGCGCAGGAAGAGCCCCACGTTGCCCAGCAGGTTGAGCAGCTGGAAGGCGGCCAGCACTAGCTGCAAGGCCCGAGCCAGGGGTCCCAGCGGGGGTGGCCCGGGACCCAGAACTAGCACATAGGCCAGCTCCAAGCCCACAGCCGTGGCCCACAGCGCAGTGAGCACGAGGGGCAGCCGCGCGGGCGCCCCCTCCGCGCTCCCCGCCGCCCAGGGCTGCCCCATGGCCTGGACCCCACCGGCTATCGGATCCTTAGTACACCACCGCTTCCGTATTGGGGCGGGGATAGTGGCAGACGGACGCCCTCTACGACCAATAGAAGCTCGAAGGGGGCTTAGCGTCACAGGGAGCGGCCCGAACATGCAGACATGTGATTGGACGGGCGAATGAGCCGGCGAGAAGCTTGGAATCCCGTTGGCGCTGGAGCAGGGAAGGACAGCACGTTATAGCTCCGCCCGCCAGCGGAGGCCACGCCCCTCCACCGAAGCTACGCCCTCTGCTCTCGCTGGCTGGTTTGGAGGATTGAGTTGCAGACTCGGTGGCATCGGGGTTTCCCGGCTCAGCACATTCATTCCCCCTCAACCCCCAGCCGCCCCGATATTAATAGCCCTGCATCGGCTCATCCAGCTGGCCTGGAACCCCTTCCCATGCCCGAGTGTCTCCATCACCCCAGAAAACATTCAAACAGCTCAGCGCCTCGCTGTTTCTGACTGTGAAATGGGGATAGGGCTCTATGTTTCCCACCAGCGCCGCGCAGGGAGAGGGTCAGGAGGAGGCCTAAGGGGCAGCTTCTAGAGCGGTCTACAGTCACTGTTATTATCGTCATCTCCATTGTACACATGAGGAAACAGAGAGGGCCGTGGCTTTCCTACGGCCACACAGCACCCAAGAGGCAGAGCCGGGACGGGAACCCCGAATCTCCGCCATGGGATCCCCCCAGCACCCCCAAATCCTGCAGTCCCCTGGCCCCAGGGCAACCTCTCGCCAGGTCCCGACCCGAGCGCCCTCGCCCCCATCCGGCCCCTCCCTCCTCCCCCATATTTAGCGCGAATCCGATCCGGGGCTGGGCGGGGAGCTACTTAACGCGGCCCCGGTGTTCTGGAGAGCGCCGAGCGCAGCGGAGCCAGGAGCCCGAGCAAGATGATGATGGTTATGCAGCCCGAGGGTCTGGGGGTCAGGGAGGGGCCCTTCGCGGGCGGCGGCGGGGGCGGCGAGTACATGGAACAGGAGGAGGACTGGGACCGCGACCTACTGCTGGACCCGGCCTGGGAGAAGCAGCAGCGGAAAGTGAGTGCTCACCCATTTCCACATGGCAAAACTGAGGCCTGAGAAGACGGGCGGTTTGTCCTTGGCATCTCAGCAGGTCTGGGGCAGAGCCTGTCTTAACCCGGAGAGCCACTCCCTAGCCCAGGCTCTGCCCATCAGTCCTCTGCCGTCCCCTAGGTCTGGAAGAGAGGGCTGGGAGTGCTCATGAGGGGTTTAGGATAACCAGTAGAGTTTCTGGGGTCCCCACCCCTCAGGGTTCATTACCCAGTGCCCACTGCCCCACTTCTGTTGGCGAAAAGGGATTGGGTGAAGCCCAGGAGATCCAAGTTTGGGGAGCGTGGGGAGAATAATCTTTCTCCCCACACCACCAACCCTCTAGTTAAATATCCTAGACCCCACCCAGAGGACTTGCAGCTGGGCAACTGGTGGACCTCGGAGTGTACGGGAGGAGGGAACCATCCCAGACCCCTCCCCACTCTCTTCTCTCTATTCTCTCCACCCTGGGGTTCATTTCGACTCCATCCCAATTGTCAAATGAGGAACCTGAAGCCCCGAAACGGGCAGAGAGAGAACCCAAATCATATGCTGTCAGAAAGCAGGACCCCCCTCCCAACCTGAGAGTCCTTGCCCCTTGTCTGCCCCACCCCCACTCCTTCTCAAGATACCCCTTCCCACCCCAGAGGCCCTAAGTCCGCTGAAAAGGCCACAGGGTCAAGGAGGAGGGGAGCCTGGGTCCCCTTACACAGTAACCTGACGCTCCGGCCAGATGGACACTTTGTGCTGAGGCAGCGCCTTGAGGGAGCTGGAGTGGGCACACGGGCAGCTGCTGCCCAGGCCCAGCCTTGTAGGGCACTCGGGCCCCCTCCCTGATCTATTTTCACTCCCAGACTTTCCCAAGTGGAGGGGGCAGAACACCTGGGTTCCCAAAAGAGAAAATGATCCGGGCTGGAGTGAGGAAACTTTGGGGAGTGGCAGGCCAGGGGTAGGGAGGACACCATGAAGTCATCGGACCCCGCTCAGCATTTGCCAACAGTGTGCGACTCCAGGAAAGGGCAGGGAACAGGAGTGCTCGGTGGAATTTGCAGGATCTGAGAATCCTAGGGTTTAGAATCAGAGCACTCCTGCTGGGTTAGATGACAGGAGATGACCCCAGAGACTGGGAGGCTCAGCTGACTAGGCTGGGGTGCCCCCGGTGACACGTTTCCCCTCAAGCTCCTCCCGCACCTGTCTCCGAGCAAGGCTGCGGTCCTTGGGTCTGGCCATGTGATGTCATCCCTGCCCCTGGCTCCAGCTGCCATCTGTTCTGCCACAACCCCTATCCCTACCCCACCCACCATGTTTCTCTCAGGTCCGGGTCCGCCCGCCCTTCATAAGACACGTGCTAGTCTGTAACTTGCCTTCATCACTTAACAAAATAGCAGGGATATCCTTCTAACTCAACCTAGAGCCGCCCGCCTCATCCATTCATTCAACGGCTGCACAACGTAGACGCTCCGGAAATTAATCAACATGTCTGGGAGTTGGCCATTCCAGAGTTTCTTTCTCCTCCAACTTGAGCATCTCTGTGCTCATCCTCAGCCCCACTCCACCCCTGCACTTCCTCTGGGTCTTGGAGCACTCGATGCCTGAGTCCTCTTCGTTCAACCTCATTCAAAAACATTCATTCGGTATTTCTTAGGGAGATCCTACTATGGGCCAGGTGCTGTTTTAGGTGTCAGGAATTCAGCAGGAAACAAAACAAAGCCTCTGCCTCAGGGAGCTTACAGTTCAGCAAGGAAAAGAGTTTCTACCCCATCTGTCTGATCCTGCCCTATGCCGCCTCACTGACACCCTTCCTCTCTCACCCTGGTCCTGGGCACCACCTCCTCACCTCTCCCTTCTGCTCTGCCAAGCCATTTGCCTCCACTCTGTAACCAGGAAGAGCTTTCTAAGACACTTTTCTGCCCACCTCCCTCTGCCTGAAAGCTTCCCTCTCTTCCCTGTTGCCCTCAGGATCGAGTTGAAAGTCCCTGGCTTAGCACCCAAGATCGTGCATGACCTGGCCCCTGCCGCCCCTCCGGCCTGCTTCTCACCACTTATACCCCAACACCCCCAGCTTCATTCCAGCGGCACCCAGATAGCTATAGCCCCACAGACCTCACAGCTGTTTCTCCCTGCTGAGCATTTGCCTGTGGCGCTGGCCCTGCCTGGCGTGCCCTTGCCTGCCCTTCTCTGTCTGAATAATTCCTGCCCTTCCATTGCAGCTCAGATCAGATAGTAGCCTCCTCCAGGAGGCCCCCCATCTGATTTGAAGAGTTCTTTCCCTCCTCTCCCTGACACTAGTCTCTCCCAGCACTTCTCAGACCAACGTGACTCTTCAATTGACCGTGAGCTCCTTTACGGCAGGGACCACATCTCATTAAGAGTCATGTTTGTCAAAGGAAAGAATGCCCCTTCCTCCGCCATGGAACCCCCACCCAGTCCTGCCTCTCCTCCCTGCCTTATCTAGACCCAGAGCATCTCAGACTCTGAGTTTGGAGGGAACTACAGAGAATCCGACTGCCTTCTCCTGTGCTTGGGGCCCCAACCAGTAGTGCTCAGACTCCCTTGTATACCTCCAGTAATGGGAAGCTCACTTTCTTTCCTTAGCAACGACAGTCCTTCAAGTATTTAAAGCATCATCTTTCACATCCAGCTCTAAGGACAGCTGAAAAGCTGGTCTGGGGAAGGGAAGCTATCTGAGGGAAATAATTCCAATTGACTCCCAGAATTCATTGCTCTGTGGTGGGGGAATGCTCTGAATTCTAGAATCCTGCCAGATTGGAGGAAGAAAGACCTGGGACATCGTGAAGTCTGGGCGATTAATTGTACAAATGGGGAGACTGAGCCCAAGAAAGGGCAAGGGGTGCACCCTGGGCCACAGTGAGTGAGTTGGAGCCCAAGGATAGATTCTACCAAGGACTCTGTGGCTAATGGCAGAATCCAGGGCTTGAAGGCTTGATAGGTTGGTGGAAACTTGTGCACCAGGCTGCACCAGGTCACGCCCATCCCCAATATACACCCAACTGCACAGCAGCCCCCCCCTCCCATCCCAGACAGAGGCTGAGGCTGAGGATGACTCTAGGGAGAGGGGAAGGGCAGTCACCTCCAGGAGCCGTGTTAGGCTGCGCTTGTGCCCAGATGATCCTCTGCGACCTGCAAAGCTCTCACACCCTCACGTTCTACTTGGAGGCCCATTCACAACAGCCCCGGGAGGGCAGTGGGGCTGAGATAATAGTAACACGGGTGCACAGTTCCTCAGGCACAACCCTCAGAGCCGGACATGCTTCAGTCCAGAATTTTTCAGGCCTTAGAAGGGCGGTATCACCCTGCATTGGCCCTTGTGTGTGGGAGGGCCCCACACTTCGGAGCGTATGCTTTACAATTTTTCTAAATTGCCCTCAGGTGCTTGAGACTGACCAGAACTGGTGTGTCCCAGGTCCAAACTGGGACCTGTGCGGGCCCCAGCGCCCACTTTTCCTTTTCTAGGAGAATTAAAGCTCAGAGAGAGAAAAGGACTTGCATGGCAAGTCAGTGGCTGGGCCAGGACTTGAATCGGGGGCCCGGGCTCTGAGATCTACCCTGATGTCCCCCAGAGCCAGCGCTTGGGTCTAAGTGCTGTCCTCTGCCCCCCAGACCTTCACTGCCTGGTGCAACTCACACCTGCGCAAGGCCGGCACCCAGATTGAAAACATCGAGGAGGATTTCCGCAATGGCCTCAAACTCATGTTACTCTTGGAGGTCATTTCAGGTGAGGGGCGTGAATCAATGCACCGGGACCCTGGGACCTAGGAGAATCCGGAGAGCTGGGGGAACGGGGCAGCAGAGTGCTGGAGGGGATGAAGTGGGGGAGGGGGAAATTTGAGGACAGGGTCTTCAGCTTTTTCTTGTGACCTCTGACACTTGACCTCTCCTCTTACACCCAGGAGAGAGGCTACCC